TTACAGTGTTATAGTTTATTTAAATTTTTTCTAGTGCTCAATGCAACTCCCTGTGTCTAATTTACTGAATCGAAAGCCCATTCTATAATATCGAGATCTCATTGATTGGCAATCTGTGCCACAATGAGCTCTTTCGATGACTCTATCTCAGCTCTTGTTTGAGCTATGATTTTGAAAATTTTATCACTAACTGCTAGACTTATGAGCAATTCATGATTGAAATTTTCAAATGAATCGGTTAAGGTTAAGTGGAGTTATTACCACCAAACTGAAGATTAGGACTAATCGATTAGCAGATATTTTCATTACAAAGATTCTATCTCTATGAATTTAAAGTAATTTTTTACCAAGTTTTTGTCACAGATTACTCCGAGGTTAGGGTTGGATCACACGAAAGTGAACGTTGAAAAATGGTTGAGATACAGTCTTCACAAGATGATGATACTGTTGAGCTAATAACTTCCGTATATATCAATCGATCGAGATCAGGTTGATGCCTACGATCAGGTTTTCTTGAGCTCTATAAGTGGTAAAAGTAAGAGCCCGAATGATTGAAGTTTAAATAGTTTTCATCTAGTAGCGTACTTTTGTCGACTACTGCAACATCAACATTTCGCATGGTTATAAAAGAATATTATTATTATCAATGCACATACATTCGAAGAAAAAAAAGTTAACACGTCTCTAATTAATAGAAGATTGGACTAAGGATGACATAGATGTTGAAAAACTACGTCGTTGCACGTCTTATAGAAAGTCAGCTGTCCCACGTATGGGTAAATTTGAAAACCAAAGTTGCATGTGCAAAATAACTATTTCATGATACACCTATAGATCCTGTTTGATGTAGTATATTTCGATATTATTGAACATGTTAAGCAAGCTGAACATCTCTCATTTAAAGTATGGTCTTCATTTGAGAGCTACTTTCTGTCTCTAATGTTATGTATCGTAATGTTCATCGTTCTTAATAGAAACATTCTCAGTTTTTTGTTCAATAAATCAGTCAGTTTCAATATGACTCATGATCTGCGACACGTGTGAATTTGTAGCAAATAAAATAGTCAAGAGGCATGAGGAAGAAACATTAAAAACGATTTGCCATAGAATTCCATCATAGATGGCATTCGGATTACTGATATTGTATGCTATGGATCTCGCTTATCGGCCACAAATTTTATGCTTTTAAGTAACTCTGGTCTTTGATATCGTATGTTCAGAAAAGGATAGAGATTCGCAATGTTGTACACGTGCTAGAACGAGTAAAAGACCTGAGCTTTAATAAAGATCAGTTGTACGAAACTTTTTATTGGCTTGGAAGACCTTTCGAGAAAACAGTCTTCTAGACGAAAATCTCAGTTTTTGATCGAGAGTCAAAATAGAACTATTGAAATGTATTTATAAAGCATTTGTTTTTGGTATAAAATCTATTTTTGATCTTTTCAGAGATTCTATTAACGATAAAGTTTGTACATATCGGACGATGAGTGTTGGTGTTATGAATTGAAGTGTTCCCCTTCATTCATAAGACGAAACAAACAGAATAAGATACACTCCTTTCTAGTACAGTGGTTAATATGAGTGCTCGGAAAGCAGGAGGTGCATGGTTTGATTCCATGCGAAGGGAGATTATTCTTTTGTTTCGTTCTGTAATATCATCACATTGCTGTCTCGGTGACATCAGAGTATAACATGAGAATTCGAGCAGTAAAAAATAAAGAAGAAAAAGATAAATACACAACAGTTGGATTGTGCTTCTTGAAATGATTTTGTGATTATTCTGTTTATTATTCGAATTTCTTGCACAACCCGAGACTCCTTCATCATGACCTATCCTTTTTTTCATAATCGTTGATAGTTGATTTTTTCTTTGTGGATTCTCGATATAGAAAAAAATCAATTGTTCATCCATCAAAATATTGCATTCAGAGTCAAATCTTTCGTAGCTATATCATCGATTCAGTTTGATCTAATGTGATAGTAATCAAACACGCGACAAATCTCAAGAATTATTTTCAGCAATCATCCTTTTTTTGACAAAAGTCTGGCAGTACCATGCGAATACGTCAACAATTATATTTCAGCTTATTTTGAACATATAGACTTAGTTTACATATCGTCTCAATTATAAAAGAAAATTATTCGTTCAGTTTTTGAACATGGTCGTACGGGATGCGGAGTTGCGATCTCGAATTCGCTGCATGAGCAAATTCTTGTACGCTGTCCAGTTAACTTCGCGTTGCAGTTTATTTTGTAGTTCGTTATCTGTGAGATAAGGTCGAAGCTAAATGTATTAAGATGTGAGAAAATGATATAATTTTGATATTAATTACAACAATTGGTACTACATACCTCTCGTCGCAAACGATCTAAGTGACTCTCCGATGCCCATTTAATGAAAAAGCTTCTCCGTATTTGAATGCATTCGGCTCCATCAGAGACTAACGTAAGACTGGTTACTTTTTCCGATTGATCGAAAATAACATTGAACAAGCCCTCAACAACGAATAAAGTCATTCTAAATCATGAATCATCCATGGAGAAAATACTTACAAAAATATTTCTTTCACAAAGTTGCTCGATCTCCGTGTAGCATCTGGCAGGCTTCGCGGATACTGCACGCTAAAATAGATCACATGCATGAGCACATACGATGGCAATAGTCTTACTCGACGATACGCTCCGAGTGCTTCGATGCCGTACTGGGACTTGCGCTTGGTACCTGAAAATTCAGTACAAAAAATAGTACTATTTCAATCAAAAGGATCGGTCATAACCATACCAAAATGATCGTAAATCACTTCAGGTTTCTTTTTTATTGTTAACTTCGGCGTTACCTGAGTCAGTGCTTTAATGACTCGACAACAACCTGTTCGTATGACGTAAATCCATTCGTCTTTATTCGAATCTTTACACATCACTGTGCCCATACTAATGTTGATGAAACAAAAGAATCAACTTCTTTACATATACACAATAGACATGATATTTAAAGAGAAAACTACCGATAGTAAACAACATGACAAAAGTAGGGATCATTGGGCGGAATTTTTTCAAAAGGAAAGCCACGAAACTAAACTGAAGAATCATGAAACAGATTGTTTTGTCTGAATCAATAGTCTTACTTCCGGTATCTGTCGTAGAAATGTTATAAAGTCAGGTTCAGTCCGTTCTTTGTTCGACATAAAAATTTTGACAAAATCTTCTTGTTCGATGGCAAGCATCGTCACGTCAGTTTGACAAGTCACCGTTGCAGTTCGCCTCTTGGAATTTAACAGAGCAATCTCCTACGAAGAAAGACAGAGAAAAATAATTGTCATCCAAGATTCTTATAGTCTACGTACCCCAAAAGAGCTTCCTTTTTTGAGTACGGCCACCAATCTTGAACTGATTGTGTTCGTTATTGGACTCTCCCATAATTGATACACATCAGCTAGATAATCGATTGAAAAATATCATTCTGTGGTCCTACGAAATATTAAAAACACTTACTGATTCCATCGATAATCAGATAAAACTTTTCAGCTCGATGACCTTCCCGAATAATAACGCGACCCATTTCGAATTCCTCAAGTCGTCCCACACGTGCTATAGAGTATTGTTGCTGTAGAGGAAATTCTAAATAACAAGATCTTATTTACATAGATATTTTAGATTTTTCTCAGCCCATTTTATTTCAGTATATGGCTCTTGCCAAAAGGACATATTTATGAATCGATATTGATTTAGGTAAACAACCATATTTGATGATTATGTCTTATAGAGAATTGAATTTTTGAACTTCTTACACAGATTTTCGGATAACTTTAGACAGAATCATTTGTCAAGTGTAGATTTACTTGACTACAAACAGAAATATTCCAGATAGCATAGTTAATGTGTGGATTACCCATTTGAACACTAGAAATATTGCTCGGATGTCTTGTCTTTCACATGAAAAGAATCCTGTTTTCAAACATAGTATTTCTGAAATTCTTATGGATATTTTTGTATCAATTTGTTCAAACCCTGAACATAGGATGAATTGAAAAGCTCCATCACAAATTCAAGTAATTCTTCGCTTTATCAATATGAGAGCTTCACAATTATTGCCTACAATCATGAAATAAAAATCTGTGTGCATAGAAACCTGTAAACGGTCTTATGACTTGACCCAATGTGGTGACAACCATCCGAATATCATCTTCGGATCTTGTTTTTGGATCTGATTTTAGAATTTTACGAATATTACGGCCAATTGTATCCTACAAAGAATAAATTGACACTAAGCACAATTATCATAGGATTACTTCGGCGGGACGTCTATAGTGTCTCAGATCAAAGAGAATATCCTTGTTTTCAAAAACGATTTGTTCGTCGGCACGATGCAATGCCTCCATGGCGTACTTCCGAACAAGCAGACAGACACGAATGGCATGACGAACAAGTCGAATAAATTTGCGCATTTTTCGATAGTACTAGAAATTCATTATAAAATGTAACAATTGCATTTGGTCATCATTGACTCACATAACCGCGATCGAATGACGGTGAATGTTTCATAAGAACCGGCTTTGCAGTTGATGAATGATACGATGTTTGAGAAGTTCTACGATGGTGCAACGTAATCGATGTAACACCACGCTGCAACATAGCTGGTCGATGAAATGACAAAAAGAACGAAAGATTGACACGAAGGAGAAGGTAAAATGGTTGTAGATGTGCGTCGTATGCTTATACAATTGTCTGTCAGCATGAAATAAGAAAAGAAATTTATTTCGGTGTGTTCACACGGCTTCTTCATACAATCGTCACCTAGTGAAATTCAATTAGATAGAAAAAAATTGAAGTATGATTGCAAAAAAAACCATGTTTGTTGTAATGAAGTAGATGTGTATGAGTATGATCAGATTGACGAACATGAGAAGAAAAAGGAGGTTATTTCATCCCTGGTATATGATGTGTATAGTTTTTGCCATTATTCATGATTGTCTATTCGTAATGGAATAGTTAATAGTCTCCTCGTACATGGTATTTCAGAAGCCAGTGAGGCCAGAAATCTACTCAATCATTTTCGGTCTCAAACAAACTACAAAATTGGTTAAGTCTTTCTTATGCATCTCTTTTATGACGATCATGAATCAATGATTATTGATAAAATCTTCTTATCCTGTTAATTACATTCATCTGAAGGTAACCGAATTTCAAATGGTTGATCTTATATGCTTATCAACAACAGACGACATCTATGAACATGTTGAAATTAGAATCCGATCGAGATACTTCAGTTGACGTTGATGAGTATACGAGTCATCTTCACGTTGAATGTTTTTTTTCATTACTAGCTGAAGAATTTTTCTTATTAATTTGATCACACATTTCTACTTCGAAATTTTCCTACGAAATTGGCTTTTTTCAATCCAAGATATATCGTTAATAAATCATTATGTGCGTAGGGTATGGGTATGATTATAGTATATTTATCTGGAGCAAGAGGAAGTCCACCACCTTCACTACCATGACTCCCATATCCACACTTATTGTACCGTTAGAGGAAACAAATGATGAAAATGAATTTAATAATAAGAGAAAGCTAAGTGTTGTATTTTATAGAACGATGTCGACTGTATATGAAAGTAATATTTTCTCAACACTTCTCTATATCGCAGCTGACTTCTCTACGCTATTCTCATACATCAATCAGTCTTAATATATGGATATATTAAAAAAGTCGCTCTGCACTTTGCTAGTAGAACAAAATTTTCTCTCGAATGGAGAAAGATGAATTTTGCTTGATTTTTAAGATATGACTCTGCTATATGAATTGCAAAAAGGGTCAACTTCTTTTGGCAAACAGTTCCGTTTTCATTGAATTATAGCAATAACAAAATCCAAAAAGTCGCTCTACATACAGCTTGAAAATCATTTTTTTAAAATTTTGTGTAAAATTATTATATTAACGAAGGTTATGAAACAAAACATCTTTTACTTCTCAAATTATTTTCTCTCTAATTCTCTTCGATATCCAACCAATCTTTTTCAAATGAAGTTTCTTCAAGCGAAATGCCATTGACTTCAATGCCGCTTTGCACAAAAATGAAAAGTGTCTTGACGCCTATTATCGATAGTTTTTCATGCATAAAGCTTCGTCTGAAGCTGAAACTAAAGACATATTCTGAAAGCTCTCGGAAAGTTCTTTAACTCTAGCTAAAAGAATAATTTTAAACAATCGCAAGGAAAATTAAAAAAATACTTGTTGACTTCCGATAGGTGATGCTACAAGCTATGTGCTTAATCTGTCGCTACGATTTTTCGAAAACTTAAGCAGATGGAAACTTGGTTGTTTTAAGAGTGAATGATCATCTTCAGATCAGTAAAACGAAAACAGCTTATCAAAATCATTTGAGCAGAACTCGTCTTATAGACAATTTTCTTTTCAGGACACAACGATGCAATGGCTGTGCTCTTCATTCATACATATATATATATGTCGTATCGAAGTTACTGCAATTCAACTAAATATCAAATAAATATCAATTAATTGATGATATTAAACATAAAATATTTTACTTATAATTCATTTTTTATTTTAAACAATAGAAGTATCATTTTTTACAAACAAACATAGAAGAAATTATTCAGAAAAATCAAATATTACATTTTCTCAATGTTGTATATGATTATAGATCTATTCTAACAACACTAAGATCTGTAGTTAATGCAAGAGATCTCTAGAATACTATGCTCCGATTTAAATAGCACTTTGACTTTATATTAATAAATATATAAGGACAAGCTTATATGGCCAATGAGGTTTCCGACTGATGCTGGATACAGATCGAGACTAAAATCAACTAACTTCGTCCATTATCTATGCTAGATTCATGTCTAGACATGTGGTGGATCTATCTTGAGTCTGATATTAATGAGAAAACGCCTAGATCTGCGGTGGAGTCCGTCTCGTCCATGCCAGTTGATGACAAATAACGCTTGAATCTGTAAGTGGTATCATCTACTAATTTGAATACGTATAATTATCAACAAAGCATTATAGATGTATACGGAAACAACAGATACATATAGAAAGTCAATTTTCATGTCGTTGCATCTAGTGATCACTGGAATGGTCAAACTATATAGAACAAAGAGGGATGTGTATAGTCGACTTGTCTCAACGCTGGTATATTGAGAAGGTCAATCGCAATATTATATATTCCTATTTATTTTATAAATGACTCTTCTGGAACCTCTATGGGGACTTAAGGAGTTAATATATTCTGCTGTGAACTACCACGATAGATTCCAGTAAAGAAATGTAACCGTGTTCGATTTCGGAAAAAATACTTTTGATGGAGGTTCCCGAATGATTAAGGGCCTTTGATGTCATATTTGGCTCAGTAGTAACAAGCCACTAGACTATATTAAGTCCAAAGGGCTCGTGCAGTTGTTAAATTTTGACGGACATGTTGGATTTGTAGTGAATTATTCCCTCATAGGATCTCAATTTTCCAATAAAATCGTATTTTTGAAACCTTGATCTGAAACTTTGCCCTCACTAAAGTCTCAGCTAGATTTGCTTCTATTGCAAAAGTTTCACAATTTTCAGATATAATTTTGTTTTAGGAGTGTATTTTTCAAATACACACACTTTTCTATTGATATTATGTAAAACATGAACATTTTGAAAAATAAGTATTTCGAGAAAAGTATATGCAAAGCCTTCGAAATTTTGTACAGAAGCTAGTCTAATTGAGGCCTTGATGTGAACAAAGTTCCAGAGCAGAAGTAGAAAAATACGATCTTATTGAAAAACTTTGTTAGTGCAGTCTCTGACGGGGCTTAAATATGAAACTCACACAAGCTCACCTATTGAAGCGCAGAGATGATTTTACAAATATAAACTTCATTTTAGAAATTAAAGATAGGTCGAATCGAATGCATCCCAATCCATCTATACCTTTGGGATACTTTCCACATTATTTGATAGTCTAGGCGCTGTTAGATTTTCTGCAATTGTTTCTATGCTGCAGTAGGTGTAACCCATACCAGACCACCTGACGTAGTTTGACCGAATTTCATCGACCAGCCAGTTGGTTCCGAACAATGAATTTCGTATCAGACAAATAGGCTCACTATACGTCAGAAAGTCCTAGTTTACTTTACTACACTCTCACACTAATTGCTGCATACAATTACCCAAATTGTATGAGGATGAAGGTCAAGGTATGATTACAGTAAACAAGCGTCCGTAAATTTTCATCCAATGATTTCAAGTTGAATGGAAAACTAGAAAATATCTTCGACTGTTATCCTGTGATCATATATCAGGCTATCTGTCACTTTGCTAATATGACAACCGTTTATCAAGTGGTCGCCATATGAAAGAAGACAATAAGAAATGCTAGCAACCTATTAATAAAGAGAAGAAAAGCATCTACTCGCCACTACTGAGTAAAAGTGTAGATGTTGGTAAAAAGAAGAAACGCATTCAGATCCATAGTTAGACCTATACCCACACCCACAAAATTCATCAGCATACGTACGCACTCAAACAGCACTTAAGTCAACAGTATTTCATTT